CATGGTCCCATTTACTGCCAGATTTGTCTTGTTTTTTTTCATACAATATTATTAGAGAGTGAGTTGTTGTTAACAAAAAGTACTCAACTTGACGTTCAAAACTGATAAGAAAACAAGAAATTATATTATTTCTTTGCCATGCGACAAAATGCCCAACAGAAGCCAAGAAAATTGAAAACACGAAAATAAGTTATTATTGACTTCGGAGGAAAAATTGAAACCAAATACAACAGAATATCCATTCTTGTACTCTAATGGCTAACATTTGAGAAAATAACAGAAAATTAAAGCAAAAGGCACATGTAAAAACCAATTTAAAAACAAGAAATCATATATTAATTTCTTTGCTGCGTGACAAAATATTACAGCGCTGCGAAAGAAAGATAAAAATTCTAAGTCAAAAAGACGACAAAAACAGGCTAATCATTTTGAGATCAATTGTATTTTAACTGCGCTGAATTAGTGGCCACTTAGTTCTTTTCTCGGCAGTTCTGTAGTAGCTGAATAAGACTCCAAAAAATATATTTGAATGAAGCAAATAACCTAATCAAACAAACCACGGACCACTTTTGAAGTCATTTTATCGGCCGTGGTGTTACCAATCGTTCCAAAAGTTGAATTCAACTTTTAAACAATAATGTACGTTACCATTTTTGCTTCTAAAGTCCAGGAAGCTGCTTTAAATCCACAATCTGTACTCAAAACTCACTTGAAAGTGCACTAATCATCATGTTTTCTTGGCAGTTGAAGGAAGGAAAATTCTTCACCAGAAAGGTTTGAGCACTCTGTACTCTTTGATCTTCCATTCTGAGGTCACCTGAACATTGATTTGTATTTTTCATTTCTATTTTAAATCCCAAAGCAGTAATTCCTCTGTGTTAGAAATGAAAACAAGACCTTTGAAGTTTGCAAATTTGGCCCGCAACATGCCATGATAACCTGCACTTTATGAGCACACGATTTTAAGAAGAAAAACCGTCTTTCTAGGACCCCTAAAGTCCTCTAGAAATATGCTCAGTAAGTCGATTCTGATTGGTTTGTTTGTCCTCAAGAACAATAGAACAATAAGAGAACCATAAGTCTTCAGGGAGGGTAGGAAAGGCTATTGTCCCCACACGCTTTTTTGGGGGGCGTTTACAGGCGGCACAGGAAATTGGAGGGGCTTTTTGCACGGGCGGTTAAGGGGGCCCAGGACTCAATGGGTTAAGCAGTTGTGAAATTAAAGACTAAAAAAAATCTTTTTTCACAACTGCTTAAGTTGTGTGTAAAACTGCAATGATCAATCATGTCTTCATATCTTTCTCCGCAGTTCAAATATATGATCTCTCATATATTCATTTGTATTCTTCAACATCTATGGGTATATTACAAACTCACAATGAGACCAGCTCCAAGTTGGCTTGATCGCTTAGTTAGTAGAGCACTACACTGGCATCACAGAGGTCATGGGTTTGAATCCCGTTCAGGCCTGAATTTTATTCAGACTTTAATTTCCCAACTGCTTAAGTTGTGTGTATAGCTGCAATGATCAATCATGTCTTCAGATCTTTTAGCATCTTAATTGTTGTCATATTGTGTCTTACAGACAAAAATATTGACATCTTATAGCCACGTTTTTTATCAGGAACTAGCATTTTGGTTATCTAAAGTTCCTTTCCCAATATTCTAGCCCAAATAGTCCTCCATTATACAGACTTTGCACTAATGAAACTAATGAAATCAAAAGACCGCTGAAAGTTTTCCCCAAAATTTCATAGCCATTGCATTTGAAATAGGCAAGTGGGTCTGAAATAGCAAAAACAGAGCCACCTTAACATAATGAAAAATTATTTCTATTGATTGGAATCCCATCCTAGGAAAATCTTGCAATGATACATATCAGTTACACAAGCCAGACAATTGTATACTGAGAAGCGTTTTTGTTATCGCAATTGACAAAACGTGTCTTGAAAAAACAGAAACCTACTGACACCCTAACATTTACTCCAACGGGGTTGTTCTGGAAGCACAGCACACCAAGTTATATCAAGGATATGCTCACGATTATGTAGATATTCTATAATGTAAACATGCTGTTACTAGGACAATGCAAACTGTACTCACCAACTGATATGATTTGGAGAA